TTTCTATTGAGCCGTCTCCTTTTCAGAAAAAGAGCCTGCTCCACTTTTTTAGTAGAGTCGCCTCCATTTGAAATTGAGCCGCCTCCACTTTTGCAAAGAGCCGGCTCCTTCTAGAGTTTTGATCTACAACGGAAACTTTTTCATTTATTGTTGTCCAACCACCTGCAACAGCTATATCGGCCATTGTTTATCTATAAATACAGAGGTTGGTCTGCATCAAAAAGATACACAATTACAGAGAGCATTTTACCATTCCTAAAAGGCATTAAAGAAGCATTCGTTGAGCTTTCATTCCCTCTGCTTTCATTTCCTCTCTTCATTTCATTCTACTGTAGTAATTCTGGGCTTTAGATATATATTCATCTTTACTAAAGTCGTGAGCAGAACTGTGTACTTCTATCTTTGAGAGATTTATTGTACAATTCATTTTTTTTCAAGTTATTGTAAAAGGGTTGGTGTGACCCAAAAGAAAGTCTAGGAGAAGGGTGTTCTCTTAACAAGGAAGAGAAGCAAGGTCTTGCTTAAACTGAAGGTTTGCTCTCCACCATTAAGGAGAAGCTCTAGTGATTTTGGGAAGTCTCAAGGGGGACCTTGAACCGAGGAGTAGGAGTTTCCGAACCTCGCTAAATCGCCGAGTCATTGTTTGCAATCTCTCATCTCTATCTCTCTTATACTTGTGCCATACACTGCTTGAATATTTCAGTTTCTCTGTGATTAATAGTCTGTTAGATTTAATATTTTTAAATTGCAAAAATTGGCCCTTGACTCTATTCACTCCCCCCCCCCCCCCCCCCTCTAGAGTCAATTAGTGACTAACAATTGGTATCAGAGCCTAATCTCTAGAAAAAGATCTAACCATCTTAGAGAACGACCATGGCCAATACAAATTTTCATCAAGAAGGTCAATCTAACAATAAACCTCCTTGGTTTGACGGAAATGACTACAACTACTGGAAGATCAAAATGAGAGCATTTCTAAGAGGTGTTGATATAGATGTCTGGAAAGCTACAGAAAAAGGGGACCACGTTCCAACCAAAATTGTAAATGGTGAAACTGTTCCAACACCTGATATTGAATGGACCCTAAATGATCGTAGGCTTGTACAATGTAATGTCAAGGCTATCACCAATCTCTATTGTGCTTTAAGCAAAGACGAATTCAATTGAATTTCGGATTGCGAAACAGCCAAAGAAATTTGGGATAAACTTGAAGTTACCTATGTAGGGACCAGTCATGTAAAAGAATCCAAAATGAATATGCTTGTCCATAAATATGAACTTTTCACTATGAACAAAAGAGAAACTATTAGTGAAATGTATTCTCGTTTTACTAACATTGTGAATCCTTTGAAGGCTCTTGGAAGATCATATACATCGTCCGACAATGTGAGAAAAATTCTTAGGTCTCTGCCTAAAAACTGGGAAGCCAAGAAGACCGCCATCCAAGAGGCCAAGGATCTCAATACACTCCCCATAGATGAACTTATTGGCTCATTAATGGCTTATGAGTTAGAGATGAATGATAGAGATGAAGACAAAGAAGCTCAAAAGAAGGATATAGCTCTTCAAGCCTCTGCGAAAGAAGTCACAATTGATAAAGCTCCTAATGATGAAGAAGAAGAAGAAGTTGCCTTCATTACCAAGACAGTGAGAAGAGTTCTTCAAATGAAAAAATTCCAAAAGAGTAACAATTTCAAAAGAAATGGTGCATCAAGTGAGCAAGGAAAAAGAGAAGCACCTACATGTTTTCATTGTAGAAAACCGGGACATTTCAAATCCGATTGCTTTGCCTACAAAAATGAAAAGGAAAGGAAAAAGAAAGGCAAAGCCATGCGAGCTACATGGGAAGATGATGATTCAAATGGATCCGAAAGTGACGATGAACTCAATGAATTGGTCAATCTTTGTCTCATGACTGATGAAGATGAGGTAAATTCTAATCATGACTCATTTGATTTGGAAACTTCATATAATGAATTAGTTGATGCACACAATTATTTGCTAGATGTTTTCAAAGAATTACATGATGAATTAGGCAAAATGGTTCAAAAGTGTGCTAGCCTTAGAAGAGAAAAGCTTATCATCTCTAAAAACCTTGAAAAATCTCAACTTGAAAATGAAACCTTGAAAAAGGAAAAAGAATTAGCTAAAGAAGCAGCCTCAATTGAGTTAACTTCTGAAAATGAATCATTGAAAGTCATTATTGAGGATCAAGTTGAAACCTTAGCCAAATTCACAAAAGGCAGAGAGAATTTAAGCATCATTCTTGCAAAGCAACGAAATGCTTATACTAAGGATGGGCTTGGATTTGATCCTCATAACAAAGATTCATGTTTATTAAAAAGGAAAAAGCCCTTGAACAATTACTTTGTTAAAAATCTCTCCTTTAGTGCAACATGCAATTATTGTAAAAAGATAGGACATAAGATCAATCAGTGTCCTATTAGGCCATGTAGGACAAAAGAGGTTTGGGTTGTTAAAGGAACTTATGTGCTTCTTCCTAACTCTCATGGACCCAACAGAATGTGGGTACCAAAAGAAGATTACTCAAATTCATTTTGTAGGTTTGCGTGAAGTCTTCATATTCATCTAAGGACAAATGGTTCCTTGATAGTGGATGCTCAAGACATATGACGGGAGATCAATCAAAATTTCGCTCTATCAAAACTCACAAAGGAGGAAATGTTACATTCGGCGACAACTAAAAGGCAAGGTCATTGGCATTGGAACTATTGGTATCTCCTCTTCCTTAACTATTGATGATGTTTTACTTGTTAAAGGCTTAAAACACAACTTATTTAGTATTAGCCAACTATGTGATAAAGGATATGATGTTTTGTTTAAATCGGATAAATGCATTGTCAAAAAGGATAATAATGAAGTTTTTCATGCTCTAAGAAATGTTAATGTGTATAATTTGCTTTTATGTCAATTACATGATCAAGATGACAAGTGCTTTGTATCCTCAAATGAAAATTGTTGGTTGTGGCATAGAAGGTTAGGTCATGCTAGTATGGATTTAATTTCAAAGCTATCTAGAAATGAATTAGTCAAAGGCCTCCCAAAGACTAATTTTTCTAAAGATAAAACTTGTAGCGCATGCCAAATAGGTAAGCAAATTAAGACATCGTTTAAAAGGAAAAAGGACATAACGACTACAAGGCCACTTGAATTAATTCATATGGACTTATTCGGTCCAGAGAGAACTGCTAGTCTTGGTGGAAAACTTTATGGCCTTTGTCATCGTTGATGATTACTCTAGATTCTCTTGGGTATTTTTCCTTACACACAAAAATGAGGCTCATACAATATTTGCTAAAATTTGTAAGAGAGTCGAGAACGAGAAAGAATGTAAGATTAAGTCCATTAGAAGTGATAGAGGAAGAGAGTTCGATAACCAAGATGTAGAAAGATTTTGTGATGAAAATGGATACAATCATAATCTTTCTGCTCCTAGAACTCCTCAACAAAATGGAGTAGTTGAAAGGAAAAATAGGTCTCTCCAAGAAATGGTTAGGACTATGTTAAATGAACATAAATCTCCTAGAACTCTATGGGCCGAAGCCGTTAGTACCTCATGCTATGTCATAAATAGAGTAATCATTAGAAAACTTCTTAATAAGACTCTTTATGAACTTTGGAACAAAAGGAAGCCAAATAATGGATACTTTAAAGTTTTTGGGTGTAAATGCTTCGTGTTAAATGACAAAGATAGTCTAGGAAAATTTGATCCTAAATCGGATGAAGGTATTTTTTTAGGTTATTCAACTCGTAGCAAAGCATTTAGAGTGTTCAACAAAAGAACACTAGTGGTTGTGGAATCTATACACGTCGTATTTGATGAATCACCATTACCCCCTCTTAGGTGCTCATTGGATGATAATGAAGATGTGATTGAGATTGAAAAGAACATCGAAAATCTTGATTTAAATGGTTCGTCTATTGAAGATCACTCCAAAGATGTTCCAAAAGATTGTCACTCTCATGAAGATACTCTTCCTAAGGCTTGGAAGCAAGTGTCCAATCATCTAATAAATCAAATTATTGGCGATCCATCTAAAGGAGTAAGCACTAGATCTCAAATAAGTAATGTTTGCAACTATGTAGCTTTTGTTTCCCAACTTGAACCAAAGAATATTCTTGAAGCCGAAAATGATGAATCTTGGCTCTTGGCCATGCAAGAAGAACTTAATCAATTTGAAAGAAATGATGTTTGGCATTTGGTTCCAAGACCTAAAGATAAAACTGTCATTGGCACAAAGTGGGTGTTTAGAAATAAAAAGGATGAATCGGGAACAATTGTGAGAAATAAGGCAAGGCTTGTTGCTCAAGGTTATAATTAAGAAGAAAGAATTGATTATGAGGAAACTTTTGCCCCCGTAGCTTAACTTGAAGCTATAAGAATGCTCATTGCATTTGCATCTCATAAAAACTTTAAGTTATATCAAATGGATGTAAAAAGCGCTTTCTTAAATGGCTTCATTGAAGAAGAAGTGTATGTTGAGCAACCTCCTGGTTTTAAAAGCTATAGTTGTCCAAACCATGTTTTCAAATTGACAAAAGCATTGTATGGTTTGAAACAAGCTCCAAGAGCTTGGTATGAAAGACTAAGTGGTTTTTTACTCGCTAATGGGTTCATTCGAGGTAAAATTGACAATACTCTTTTCACTAAAACCATTGACTGCAACTTGTTGGTCATTCAAATTTACGTTGATGATATTATCTTTGGATCGACCAATAGTGTTTTATGTGAAATGTTTGCCTCTTGTATGCAAAATGAATTTGAAATGAGTATGATGGGTGAACTAACCTTCTTCTTAGGGTTGCAAATCAAACAAACACTTGATCGTATTTTTGTTTGCCAATCTAAGTATGTTAAGGATTTGCTAAAGAAATTTGGCTTGGAGGAAGTCAAACATGCCATTACTCCAATGAGCTCTTCTTTGAAACTTGACAAAGATGAAAAGGGAGTTAATGTGGATATTAAAAAATATAGAGGCATGATTGGTAGTCTCTTATATTTAACCGCTAGCAGACCGGACATCATGTTTAGTGTATGCTTATGTGCTCGTTTTCAATCTTGCCCTAAAGAATCTCATCTATGTGCTGTTAAACGCATCTTTCGCTATTTAAGTTATACTACATTCTTAGGTCTTTGGTATCCTAGACATACATCATTTGAACTTGTTGGTTACTCGGATGCTGACTTCGGAGGATGCAAAGTTGATAGAAAAAGCACTAGCGGGACTTGTCACTTCATTGGACAATCACTGGTTTCTTGGTCCTGTAAGAAACAAAACTCTGTTGCTCTATCAACGGCGGAAGCCGAGTATATTGCAGCCGGTAGTTGTTGTGCTCAAGCGCTTTACATTACGCAACAACTTGAGGACTTTGGATTTCATTTTGATCATGTTCCTATAATGTGTGATAATACAAGTGCAATTTGTATTTCAAAAAATCCGATTCAGCATTCTAGGACAAAGCATATAGAAATTAGGTACCACTTTCTTAGGGATCATGTCTCTAAGGGCGACATTGAACTTATGTTTGTCAATACGGAGAAACAATTAGCTGACATTTTTACAAAACCACTCCAAGAAGATAGGTTTTGCTTGCTTAGAAGGGAAATTGGAATGTGCTCAGAAGAAGAAATACAGCAGTAAAGCAAAGTAGCAGCAAAGCCAGCTTCATTCAGAAAAAGAGTCGTCTCTTTGAAGAAAAAGAGCCGTCTCTACACAAGGCAGAGTTGTCTCCACAGATGATATCACATTGCTTGCTCTCGGGATCTCAATGTTTTTTTAAAAAGAGCCTGCTCTATAAAAACAAGAGCCGGCTCCCCAACCTGCATACAAATTGGAATAGGAAGAGTCGTCTCTAGAAAAAGGTAGAGCCGGCTCCTTTAGTGCTATATTTTTTTTTAAACTCTCGGGATCTCCTTTACAGACAATTGAGCCTGCTCTAAAAATTTATTGAGCTGTCTCCAAAAATTGTTTAGAGCCGTCTCTATTTTCTTCCTTGAGCCGGCTGTTATTATTTTTATTTTTTTTCTTTTCTTTCTTTTCTATTTTTTCTCTCTGAGCCGTCTCAATATCCTTGAAGAGCCGGCTCCAAGTAACTTTCAAGAGCCGGCTCAACATTGTCAAGAGCCGGCTCAACATTTTCTAAGAGCCGGCTCAACATTTCCTAAGAGCCGGCTCCAAATCCTTTTACCGAGCCGGCTCCAAATTCTCCATGAGCCGGCTCTTCCATCAATTGCTTTATTCTCGGCACTTCCTCATTTTGAGGTTATAACAGATCCATTCCAGAAGCATTTGGCTCTTCCATCTTGCCTTGGGCGATTTTCTTCATTCTGTATTGCATGCCTCAACTGATAAAAATACTCCATTAATCCCCATCATTACAATGTCTAGGACTGTCATGCAATTGATCTGTAGGATATTGTAAGCCTCGGCAGTATCACTATTGGGCATAAACACTTCATTCCACAGAGTTTTTTCGGCTAGGGCACTTCTCCATTCTCTTTGGGCATTGTGTTCTGTAAGTTTCTTCCTCTCAAATTCAATCATTATTGCAGATGATCTCACTTTTAATTCATATTTTCAGCTATCCAAATTTTTTTTTTTGGTTCATTTCCTTTAAGCTTTCCTTCATGAAACCCTCATATTCACTATTGTTGTTTATTTTTTTTTTATTTTATTTTTTTTTTGGTCAATCATACTAAGAATATTGCTTACTATATGTTCTGCTATTCAAATTTTATACTTACATAAATTTTGTTTGGCTCTATTTAATCTACTGCTTCATTATTGATCAAATCTTAAGATATTGCATAAATTTTGTTATCAAAACCAATTTTTTTTTGTTTTGAATTTTTTTTTGGGATAAATTTAAATCATGTGATGTCTATGGTTCATTTGGGAAGTTCATTCATAACTTTGTCGAACTCCTTCTCTTAAGATGAGTTTATTTTTATCTCAATCCCCTGAGCATGTTATATATATATTTTTTGGGGTTTATCAAGCACACATTTTAGGATTGTTCCATGCACTATCTTGTCAAAATTCCATATCCTTCCATTTAAATTTAAATTTGAATCCTCCATTATGATTCCAGTTTGGCTCTTTATATCTAGATAAATATATTTTTTAAAATTCTCACTAAATGTAAAACTTTAACCAGGGCATTTTCCTTGGTTCAATTTGTTTTATTATTTCTAATGTTAATCTTCTGTCTAAACTTATTTGTGATTTGAATTTTTCATTGCCTTTTAAATTGAATCTTTATATAGAGAATTCCTCTGTTATTTCAGTTTAATTTCTAGAAATGTCCACGGCTTCATCCTCACGTAGAAAGAATCCCTCTCGTGGACAAAAACGGTCTACTCAACATCATGATGAATCAGGCCCTAGTGAACCAAATCCTCCTCCACCTCAAATCTCTGCCACTATGCTATATAAAAACCCCACATATAAAAGCATATATGACAAATTCTTTCAGCATAGAAAAGTGGCCACAGCAATGGTGTTGTCTGACACAATTTACCATGATCTTCATCTCAACACCTATAGATTGTTTGATGCAATTGGCCTTGGATCATTTGTTGGAATGAATGAAGGTTACTATCTAAAATTAGTGAAGTTATTTTACACTCATCTTGAAGAAATGCCTGGAGAAGAAAAACTTAACTGCTATGTGGCTGGAATATATTTTCACCCTGATACAAATAACATTGCTCGAATCCTTCATCTTCCGTCTGTGGATTGAATTCAATTCAATTCTCATTTCAACTGGTTTAAAGGACAAGGTTTTGATAAACTAGCGGCTATTCGGCAAATGAGTTATGATTCAAATGTAACAAATACCAGAGAAGTCAACACCAAACAATTAACTATGGAAGCTCGGCTGATTCACAAGATCATCATGTACTCTATTCTTCCCAAATCTGGCAGTCGATCCAAAGTTTCCCACATGGACGTCTTTCTTATCTGGTGTGTCTTAAATGGCAAGCACTTTGATCTTGCATACATTATATTTCATCACCTTCTTACATGCAAAAGAAAGAAAAAGGTCTCTCTATATTATCCCATGGTTCTCTCTCACATATTTATGGCTAAAAAGGTTCCGCTTGATAGTCGTGAAGTAGTCAAACCAGGGCCAAGGCACATTCTCACTGCCTCAAATCTTGCATCAATGGGGCTAAAAAGGGATTACAATGGAGTGTGGTTTTATCCTAGGCAACGAAGGTTGGAAGAGGCTCGAGCTAGAGGAGAAGAGATTGAGGATGTTGATGATGGGGATGAAGACGACCATGAAAGTGATGACGATGATGAAAATGAGGAAGTTCCAGTTGAAAATCGTACCAATCGTGCTCTCTTGTTGGAAATTCTCAAAGGGACTCGTCAGAACCAAGCCACTCTTGAAAAACAACAAACTCAACTTGACGAAATGCACATGGCAATCGCTCATCTTAATGAGGATTTTACAGAATTTCAAAACCAATATGGACCCTCTTCTCCTTAGAACAGTTTTTCTCTATTTTGTGTGCACTTATTAGCTTTATTTGCTTTAGAGAAGTCTTTTTTCTGTGTTTTATAAACTATGCTTTTATCTGTCATATGGTACTTGTATTCACAGTCTCTTTCTGTTATCTATAAAATGCTATTTCTGCTTATCTTTTGCCCTTTAATTCATTCTTCTCTGATATTTCCTGAAATGGCCAGTGATTTTTCTTTATCTATTCATTTCACCTTCTTTTTTTTTAGATGACAAAGGGGGAGAAAGATGTGTTATCATGCTAATGTGCTATTCTATTGTTTTTTAAGTATCTTGATAAATGCATATTGATAGGGGGAGTCTTCTAAAAATGTCTGTGAAATTTATATGCTAAAATTATTGCTATTGAATCAAGTTTGATATAATTTTCAAAATATGCTCCATGTTGACTATAAACACATCAATGTTTGTCATCATCAAAAAGGGGGAGATTGTTGGCCTAAGGATTCTATCTAAAGGTCAATCTTATGTTTTGATGATTACAATCCATTAATGATGTTTATGTACTAATATTTTCATTGAGTGAAGTACAGTTGTTCAATCATTCAATCCTTAATGATGAGCTAGAAGTTCCATTTCAAGCATTCCAAACACTCAAGAAATGATTTCAAAGAAGCATCAAAGTGCAAGAAAATAAAAAAGAACTCGGTCTTCAAAGATCATTCAAGCTTTTCAGCAAATCTTCATCAAGCCTAGACGATCATAATCAAGAAATGAAGAAAATGGTAGATAGGATGGTGAGATGCTAAGGTTCAATGTCAAAATTTAGTTGAATATATTTTGAAGCTCAAAATTACAATTCATGCATATCATTCTTATCTCATCTCTCAAAGAACATAAAATTACCTCATTAGGTTTTTAAACACATTCATATAGCCTTACATCATACTGGATTTCATTTCAAGCCTCCTATTGAAAGTAGAGAAGGCTCTACGAAAGTAGAGAAGGCTCTAAAAATCTAGAGAAGGCTCCATTTTTCTATTGAGCCGTCTCCTTTTCAGAAAAAGAGCCTGCTCCACTTTTTTAGTGGAGCCGCCTCCACTTTTGCAAAGAGCCGACTCCTTCTAGGGTTTTGATCTACAACGGAAACTTTTTCATTTATTGTTGTCCAACCACCTGCAACAGCTATATCAACCATTGTTTATCTATAAATACAGAGGTTGGTCTGCATAAAAAAGATACACAATTACAGAGAGCATTCTACCATTCCTAAAAAGCATTAAAGAAGCATTCGTTGAGCTTTCATTCCCTCTGCTTTCATTTTCTCTCTTCATTTCATTCTATTGTAGTAATTCTGGGCTTCAGACATATATTCATCTTTACTATAGTCGTGAGCAGAACTGTGTACTTCTATCTTTGAGAGATTTATTGTACAATTCATTTCTTTTCAAGTTATTGTAAAAGGGTTGGTGTGACCCAAAAGAAAGTCTAGGAGAAGGGTGTTCTCTTAGCAAGGAAGAGAAGCAAGGTCTTGCTTAAACTGAAGGTTTGCTCTCCACCATTAAGGAGAAGCTCTAGTGATTTTGGGAAGTCTCAAGGGGGACCTTGAACCGAGGAGTAGGAGTTTTCGAACCTCGCTAAATCGCCGAGTCATTGTTTGCAATCTCTCATCTCTATCTCTCTTATACTTGTGCCATACACTGCTTGAATATTTCAGTTTCTCTGTGATTTATAGTCTGTTAGATTTAATATTTTTAAATTGCAAAAATTGGCCCTTGACTCTAGAGTCAATTAGTGACTAACAAGAATTTCCATCAAAAACTTTGAACCTGATTGTTCAGAAGTTCTACACGGTTCCTTAGAAATAAAATTATTAAAATATGTGTAGCAGTAGTGACACCTGCTACCACAAAGAGCATAGAACTCTACATCTTCCTTTTCGATTTCCTCCTATGAATCCATGCAATTATTGTAAAATGACCTACAAATTAGCAAAATCTAAACCACAATCATATATCATCTAATGCAACAAACAATTTTTGAATAAATAAAAATAATATTCAATATCTAAAATACATTCATGTCCATAAACAATTGAAAACTAATGAAATTGGAATAATAATTAAGAGGATACATGAATTCAAATCTAAAAACAATATTATTAATTAAG